TCATCAGAATGCCCCCTCATCAGAATCCCTCCCTGAATGCGCAAATCAGTGGCTCCTCCAATGTCCCCATCAATATCACTATTCATTTACCCTGCTATATTTTCCTAATGGCTGATGTCAACACTCAGCAACTACAAGATCAACTGAATATTGCACTATTGCATACAGCGCAACATCAATGTCCCAAAGTGACCTTTCTCTGATTAGAGACTTAACATCAATTTTGTTGGAGCTCTGAATCGATCATTTTTATGAAGGTATTAGATGCATAAAATTTAAGACAATGTGAATGTGGATCCAAAGTCCTTTTTCATAGAGTAGCTACTGCCTGTGCAGACTGGATCTGCTTTGAGGATAATTACGAGCAGTGAAGGCAGTCAGAGAGAGCTGTGTTTCAATGTCACTTGGATGCCAGTCTTAGCTCTATCACTCATGTGGCTTTGGTGACTTTCGGCCTCAATTTTCTCAGAGGTGAAATGGGGATAATGATTCCATTTACAAGATGGTTTTGAAGATTCAGTAACTTAACATATAGAAGGCGCACACATTGCAGTTTTTTTTTTTCTTTCTTGTTGTAATTCTGAAAGAGGCAGAAGTTGACGAAAGAGAGATGGAGCTGTTTCTTTCTTAAGGCAATTTATTGGATTACCACAGGGATGTTTATTTTCTCAATTAGAGGTCATGAGACACGAAGACCACTAATGAGTGAAATTGGTGGCTAGGGGAGTTGAGGGCTTTCCTCGCTTCTTCCAAGTTCTGATTAGACTGAAAAAAAGGAAAATAAACAAAAAACAAACAAAAAAATGGTTCTTTGTAAATTTTATGACTGCAGTGTCAAAAGTCTTCTATCCAAATAGCAGTAAATATTCTAATGAATTCTGGAAAGAAAGCCATTTGTAATGGCTCGGGGCAGAGCATTAAAATAGCCTGTTTCTAGTTAGCCAGTCATTAGAGGGATCTAACATGCATGGGAAATGGTTTCCTGTTCAAAGTGCTTTAAAACCAAGTTTTAGGAAACTCCGTTTCCTGCCGGCTTATTTGGAGACAACAGTGTGCCAACTGGTCGGAATTTTCAGATGGCCAAATGGTCACCTTCTCAGCTACAGTTTAGTTTCACTGCAGCAACCTCTACTAGGGAGAGTGGGCTTTGCATCTCAGGGGTCCTGGTGGGGAGTAGATAGGGCTGCAGAGCAAGGACATCTGGACTGGGTACCACTTAAGGCTGTCCTTTGCCTCTGTTGTAAATACATTGGATTGAGCGATTCATGGAATGAATCAATTCCTGCAGGAGAATCTTTCAGCCATCACCCTAGATGCATCCATCTAGAAACAGACTGAGGGGGCTGGTGAGAAAATGGTGGATAAACTCCCTGGTTTGGGAGGGACAGGGCAGCTGATGGGAGAGGAAATTCTTTTGGTTACCTGATGTGCTGTGCATTAAAATGGGATTTTCCAAAACAAGGAAGTCACAGAGACTTCAATTAGGATGTAGATGAAAGTATTTGCTAATCAAATCCATTTGCTTTCTTTGGTGTGTGAGATGAGGACCAATACTGTACTTGGAAGCAGGAAATTGATGGATCCAGGAAGACTGCACATTTCCTCACCTTCAGAAGACACCCCCTCTAACAGCTGCCCAAATCAAAGAGGAAAACCCTTAGCCCCCAATTTATCACTGAGCCTCACCCAGTAAAGGACCCACCTCCAGGCACCCTGTTATTACCTTAGAGGGCACAACCAATCATAAGCACTTTACAGGCACTTTCAAAGCTAATTGCGAGGGCAATGCAATGAGAAAGTACTTTGATTATTATTCATGGTAAATTACATTTGAAGACCCAGTTCTTGACTCCTTACTTCATCCACATTCCTGCCATAGCCTCATTTTGAGCAGAACTTCCTTTTGTATCTCTTGACTCTACTTTAGCTTTTGGCCAACAATACATAATTAGAAGTACACAGTGCCAATTCTGAGCCCTGGCCTTCAAAGGCCACATTTCTTCCTGCCTTTGTGCAGCTCTGCTCTCATCTTGAGAAAAACAAGCTAGTCTGCTTGTCCCAGGTGGATGACAAGAGACACATATAGCAGAGTCACCACTATTAACCCACAGACTGCAGTGAGAAGCAAAGCCTCCACGGCTAACCCTCAGATGTGTGAGAATAAATAATTACTGCTTTAAGGCTCTGAGTTTTGGGGCAGTTTGTTATAGCACAATAGCTAACTGATACATCCTCATTTTACAAATAAAGACTCAGAGATCTTAGTAATGGTTTTCCCAAAGCACAGAACTGATAGCTGACTGAATCAAGATTCAAACCTAAACCAAGTGCCTGTAATCCCAGCATTTTGGGAGGTCAAAGCAGAAGGTCAAGGCCAGGAATTCAAGATCAGCCTGGGTAACATAGTAAGACCTCCATCTCTACAAAAAAAAAAAATTTTTTTTAATTATCCGGGACTGTATTTTGTGCCTATGTTTCTAGTTACCCAGGAGGCTGAGATGGCAGAATTACTTGAACCCAGGGGTTCAAGGCTGCAGGGACCTATAATCATGCCACTCCAGCCTGGGCAACAGAATAAAATCTCATCTTTTTTTAAATTTTATTTTAAAGTAAAACCTAGAGACATTCTTAACCATTGTGTTAAACTGCCCTTTCCAGTCTTACTGATGAGCTGGAAATTCCCTGGAAGTTTTTAAAAATTTGACTTTTCTTTTTTCTTTCCTTCTTTTCTTTTTCAGACAGATTCCAATGTCATGTTTTTGACTGGGACAAGTAGGGGCAGAACTGATTTTTCAGCCAAGTCCTTACTCCTCATCAGTCGGAGCAGGCAGGATGAGGAAGACAGCCCTAGAGTCCTCATCTTATCCACTGTCTTCTGACCTAACTGCAGAGCTTGTTACCACTCCACATGTCATCTTATTTCTCCCAGGCCTGGGCCTTATTTCCTACCCTTCATTTCCACCTAAGTTGATTGATAGTGATAGATATTTGCATTTGAACAAGGGAAACATGATACAATTTCAGATGAATTGCTAGGCAGTTGGGATGAAATGTTCGGTCTGCCCAGCACACCTCCAATCTCAATCCCCAGCAACTGTTTGTTAGGCAAGTCCTGGTGGAATTATAAAGATGGAATCACAGATTGAAAAAGCTTGGTCTGAGAGGTCAGGACACCTATGTGCCAGGCCTATTTGTGCCACTAACTCCCTGTGTGAACTCAAAAGGAAGTCTGTGTGATATAGTCTGGCTCTGTGTCCCCACTCAAATCTCCTGTCGAATTGTAATCTTCAATATTGGAGGAAGGGCTTTATGGGAGGTGATCGGATCATTCAGTCTTGCTGTTCTCATGATAGTGAGTGAGTTCTTACGAGATCTGGTTGTTTAACAGTGTGTAGCACCTCCCCCTACACTTGCTGTCTCCTGCTCCGCCACGTAGGATGTGCTTGCTTCCTCCTCGCCTTCTGCGATGATTGTAAGTTTCCTGAGGCTGCCCCAGCCATGCTTCCTGTGCAGCTTGCAGAACTGTGAGTCAACCACCTTTCTTCATAAATTACCCTGTCTCATGTAGTTCCTTATAGTAGTGCGAGCATGGACTAATACACTCTCTTTCTGTGGACCTTAATTTTCCCAACAGTCACAGGAGTTGTCAAGAAGGCATAATCTTTTTGATTTCCTCCAACTTTATCATGCCCTCATTTTCTGCCATCAACCACAGGGGCCCAGAAGATCCAGGCAGTCCCACAAATATTAAGCTGGAGTCAAGTTTCCCCCCTTTTAGATCATTAGACCTGAACCTGCTATTTTCCTGATGTGCTCTGAACAACCCAAGATTTCATGTCACTGGGTATAACATAGATATAATTTGGAAAAGAAGAGATTTCTAGGAAGTACAATAACGGTCCCTATTATTTATTTTTTAAATCCTATTTAAATAAAGATTGTGCATTTAAAGTTGTATTTGATTGAACAACGGTCCTTTTTTTTAAATTTTCCCTGACAAAAGCTATGAATTATTAATTTCTGTCATTGTATTCACTGAACAAATGTAATTGCAAGTAAATGTCTAAAGTTAATGAAAAAATTAAGAGAAAAGGATTGCTTTATAAGAATTAATAAAACATTTCCACAAACCTCTTTGAAATCATGATTATGAAGGCTTGCAACACTTCTTTGAAGCTGCATACCCAGAGCAAAGAGGCTTGAGCTCTGCTCTTTCTGTGGCGTGAAGAATGAAAACATTCCATTACGATTGTACCAGCTGTGGAAATCAACACACACAAGTTTTCTAACCTTAACCCTCCTGTTATGCCAGTGCTATTGTAACAGTTTTTCATCTATTCAGAGACACCTTTCATTTATGGGAGGTCGCAACAGCTTTCCCTCTTGTACTTTGTCTGCTATCATAACCATTTAATATTGTTACATTAACATACCACAACAAAAAGTGGTACTTTCACTTCCGAAAGAGAGAAATGACAGAAAAGAAGAAAGAAGAGAAGTGAAAGAAAGAACAGAAATTAAAAACAAAGGTGTATGGAAACATACAGGGATTTGGATCTCTGAATCAAGCTGGCATTTAACCTCAAAGCAGAGAACTGAAATAATTTCAAGCCTCACCCCTCAAACATCCTATAAGTAAGTCTTCACCAAGACCTGGACAAAACCAAAACTAGCCTTCCAACTTCATCTAGTTCCCAACTCACTTGAGCTCACCTTTCCTTCCTCAACCCGTTCCTCACTTCCTCTACTCCTATCCTGTTCGTACAGTAGTAAACACAGGGATACCTGGGTTCTGATTCAAATTCTGTCACACTGGTTTCATGTCCTGGGGCACAGGCAAGTCCCTGCTCCCACTCAGAGTCCCATGTAAAAGTAGGGACAACAATATGTGACTTTCCTCCCTCATAGGACGAGTGTGAGTGCTGAGGAAAATTATACCCATGTCAACAATGAGATATTAATGTAAACAAATATTTTTTTTGTTATTTCAAATCTTTTAGTCTTTGAGGAAATCCCAGAAGCCATTCAGCAGTGCAGCACATTAGTTTCTACATAAAAATGGAAGCTGGAAGCCAGTTGTCCTTCCTGGGATCACAGCTACTCCACTTTCCTCAGCATATTCTGCAGGTAAAGTGGAGCCATGTGACCTAGTCTAACCAATTATCCATTAAACCTCGAATGTAGTTCTCCTGGTTTCTCTCTTTTTTTTTTATTTCCTAGGAAGATGTAGAGTATGTAGAGTAGAGTATTCCAAGTCTTTGCAGATTACCAAGTCACCAGTTGGGTATTCGAATCACCATATGGAAATCTACCTTCTGAATATATTTTATATATATATATAAATAGTAGGACTATAATATAAGCAACAAATAGGCCCTTACTGTATTAAGCCACTGAAATTTGGGGGTGATTGTTACATTAGCTAGCGTAATTTATTCTTGCTAATTCACCAAATTAGACCTATGAGAAGCGTGAGTGCAAATCTATAGTCAATGCATGTCAAAACTAAGTGAGTCATTTTTTTGTGGGGCTATTTCAAAACTATTTTTCTGGGATAATTGGCTTCCAACTTGCACAATATAAAGAGAGGTTTATATTGGGAACGCTCTGTCCTTGTGGGGTAACTGCTGTCATAGAGCAGATTTAACAAGAATTTCTTAATAGGAAACTACCAGGGTGCCACATCCTTGGTCACCTCCTGTAGCCAACACAACCGTATTACCACCAAGAGATGCCTGGGTGGGGTGAGAGTCTATGTGTGGTTTATGATTCTGAGATTTGTAATGCAGAATCTTTTCTTTTCTCTCTAGCATTACCAAAGAAACATCAATGACCAAATAGGGGCAAAAGAGAATCATATTTTGAGAGCTCTCTCATTCTCTCTCTTCCCACCTCGCCGCCAGCCCCGACCCTGCCCTGTGTATCCAGCTCCCAGATCTAAAGACTTTTGGAACATAAAAAAGAGATTAAGTAGAAAGGCATATTCCTATAATTTACCCAAATGTGCACATTTCAATCTATGGCTAACAGCAGCTCCAAATTACCGCCAGACTAACACACTATCCTTATTTAAGGGATCCTCTTAACTCTTACCCTGAAGTCTCCATAAATCTGCCTGATATATAGATGTCAGGCATTTTCTGGCAGTTGAAACATGAAACATGACATCAGCTGGGGATTGAGTTACAACTCATAAAGACCATGTTTATTTGCTGGTTCTGTTTAAAAATTTTTCCACTATCATTTTACTCAAATGGCCTCCTATTTTATGAGAAATAAAGTTAGAACTAATGAAGGAAGGTCTTTCTGAGCTCAGCTGGACATGCAGGCTGTGGCCGTCTTCGTTCCAACCAAATATTTAAATTATTTAGAGCCAATTGTAACCTAATGTGTTGACGAAATGTCACTGCAAGCTAATACAGAGACTTCAAACACAAAAATGAGAGGAGGAATCTGAGAATTAAAGAGGAAGAGATGTTAAAAATTAGAAGAAGGCCAAGTTCAAGGAGACAGCCCAGCGGGGGACCTATGACACTCCCTGCTGTCAGCAGCCCTTGAATCTCAAAGGGAGCTCTGAGCCATTTGAAAGAGCACTCCAGGCACGTGGACCGTGGTGGGGCTGGATGGGGGGGCTCCCTACTGCATCCCTCTGTATATTGCCCAGCGGGGGATATTAGAGTCACTGACCAGGGGCTCTGTTTCAAATAGCAGCAGTTGATGTGAGAAGAAATGCCTCTTGTTTAAGGGCTCTGGGAGACAGGAACAGCTATAATAGAAATTAAATTTTTGTAATTAGAAAATCTGGAATTTATACCTTGCGACCAACCCTCATTCAACACCCACCCCTCCAAACCAACAAACAAACTCAGAATATGCATTTAATACTCAGGGTATGTACACTAGGGAACCTTGTGTCTCAAGTCTTTACCTCAAAGTAGATGCTCAGTAAAATGTGTGGAATTAAATTCCACTCATCCAATGAATCTGGTCATATGTGCAATGAGGTACATGCCTGAATCATATTATTTTAGTAGTGCTGGGCAGCCCCTAGCCTCTTTCTGTGCAAATTTCCTTCCAGAAAGTATGCCATTACTATTTTTTAAAAATTATGCCTAGTGTTTTATTTGAGCAGTAATGGAAATTTCCCTTCCTGAGAATATGCTTTCCATAAACTTTACCACAATCGTTGTTCTTTTCTTTCTTTCTTTTTTCTTTCCTTGCTTATGCTTTTTGCTTTATTTGAAGTGTCTGTTGCAGTAAAAAATAATCCTATAAGAGATGTTAAAAGGCATTCTTAGCATCCTGTAGTGAATCGAATGGATTTTCTCCCTGGCTGGATCAATGAAGCATCCTGCTAGCCCTACGGGGCCTGATGGGAGAGGGGGGCCAAGTTTCAAGAGGGAAAATGAGCACCAACTTCAGGTTTGTCTCGACTGCAGAATGCCTCATGCTGCCTGAGCCACTGGATAACAGGTTTTCCAAGGAGGACATTTCCCACTCGTCATGGAAAACCATCTCCAATATTGGAAGAGATTCCACAGTTATCAGTACAGTATTGTCTCAGCCTTGCTTTGGGATTCTAGCTCAGGGATCAGCAAACCATGGCCTAGCGGCCAAGTCTGTCCGTCTTTATAAGATCCATGAGCTAAGAATAGTTTTGACGTTTTAAAGTGATTAGAAGAAAAGTCGAAAACAGAACAATTTGTGAAAATGATAAGAAATTCAAATTGAGTGTCCATGAATAAAGATTCACTGAAAAATCAGGCATGCTTCTTCATTTACACATTTTCTACAGTGACTTTGTAGACTCAAGGACAGACCTGAAAACTTGCAAGAGAGACCCTGCAGTCTGTAAAGCCTAAAATATTCACTTTCTGATCCTTTTACAGAAGGTTTGTCAATCCCTGCTCTAATTGGGCATTTCATTGCTTTAGAAAATATGCTTGCTGTGTCAGTCTTGCCTTTGTAAACTTTACTTATTGGTGACATCTTTTGAAGCAAAGCTCATTCACCAGGCTGGGAAATTTTGTGTCTGTGTATGGTAAAATGGCAAAATACATGTAACATGCCGTTTCCTATTTTACGCATTTTAAGTGTAGAATGCAGTGGCAGTAAGTACATTTACAAAGTTGTGCAATCTTTACCGTTATCCATTTCCAGAACATTATTATTATATCTAACAGAAATTTTACTCCCATTAAACAATAACTCCCTATCCACTTGCCCTCAGCCCCTGATAACTTCTATTCTGCTTTCTGTCTCTATGAATTTGCCTGTTCTAGACACATCAGACCAATAGGAGCATGCATGTGGCCTTTTGTGTTGGCTTCTTTCACTTAGCATCATGTCTTCAAGATTCATTCATATTGTAGCTGGACGAGGACTGTATCCATTGTGTGTCTGTATCATTGGGCATATGTACACCACTGAGTATTCATTTTTAACCAGGACTGCATGGTGTGGTATATGATTCTTCAGATTCACTCAGCCATACGGTATCCATGTAGGAGCCACAGGCCAAAGCCTCTGTGTTCAAAGGGAAGTAAAGGGCAGGGAAAAAGTCCTCTGTTTCTGGACATATGGACCTCCATCCACCTCTGGATAAAATCAAGTGGTCCAAGCAATTTTTGGTTCATACACTTACTTCTGTGTATGTTTGTAATGTCTTAGGGAGTGTATTAGTCCATTATCACACTGCTATAAAGAGCTACCTGAGACTGGGAAATTTATGAAGAAAAGAAGTTAAATTGACTCACAGTTCTGCCTGGCTAAGGAGGCCTCAGGAAGTTTACAATTATGGCAGAAGGCAAAGGGGAAGCAAGGCATATTTTACCATGGTGGAGCAAGAGGGGGAGAGAGAGAGAGAGAGAGAGAGAGAGAGTAAACGGGAAAGTGCCACACTTCTAAACCATCAGATCTCATGAGAATCACTTACTATGACAAGAACAGCAAGGGGGAAATCCGCCCCCATGTTCCAGTCACCTCCCACCAGGCCCCTCCTCTGACATACTGGGATTACAATTTGACATGAGATTTGGGTGGGGACACAGAGCCAAACCATATCAGGGAGCAAACAGGTGATGAAACTTTTAAAGCATTTTTCTAAGTTTAGAGAAAAGCTAGGAATCTTTGCGATAAAATCTTTTTTTTCACAGAGAAATATCTGAGATGTTCCAAATAGAGATGACTCCACCAATTTCCTCCACCTAAACTCTTTGAGTGTATGTAAGAAAATATATCATTTTGCATTTGCAGGGACTATATATACATTGGATATATGATATCAAATTGTAGTACTATGAATTAAGATAATCTAAACTAGAAAAGTATTAACCAAAAGCACATTCTTTAAACAATGTCTATTGCGTACATTAGTCCCCATGCTAGGCACAGAAAATATGGATACGTACATGGTATCTTTCATGACATCATCAAGAAACGTTAATTCTAGTACCTCAATTTCCAAACTGCACCAAGGCACCCAGGATGCTTCAGTGAATTCACATGGGAACTGTGTGATGTTTTAACTGTTTGAGGAAAACACAGTAACATTTGTTAGACCCTGCAAACTACTAACTTGAGGTAGTTTTAACTTATTTTTGACATTAGATCACAGCGTACTTTTCTGGGTGATAGTCTATCTTTGTGAAGCTCGGTTTTCAGAGGCTGTGTTAAAAAGTGAGAACCATGTGAAAATCGCTGTGGAACAGGAAACAGTAGTGGTGTCCAGTCTGATGTTAAGACTTGACAAGTTTTGCAGAGGCTAACCATCATGGACACCTCATTAGAAATTGTGAGTATTGGAGAATAAAATAAACAGAATGTTTCTTTTCTTACAAATGTTGTATGATTTTAAGAAATGCCCACTAAATTTTTAGGACATTCATGCTTGTTGAGTGGTTTGAGCCTGACTACTTACTAAAGGGAATTGATGGGTAATTCTCTTGAACTAGAAGCACTATGAAGAAATTAGCAAGGCACTGAGGGCACTACAAATTGAGAAAGTTGGTGAACCTCTGATCTTGTGAATCAAGCATGCTTCTCCTGTTGAATATGAACACTTTTTAAATTAAACAAAAGCAAAAGACAAAGGGTATATGGTATGTAAACAATGCAGCAACCAGCAA